TTAACCGCAATAACCACCACCCGCAACATCTCGATCATTAGCTAATCACATTGATGAAGCTACTTGAGAACACCCATAATATAATGTTTAGGATTAAACCATATTTCAACAGATTATATATCTGTCAAGGAAGCCACACAGAATCAAAATACTAGTAGTATTCTTACAAAAGTATGTGTTAGTGTAAAAGTAAAAATATAATATATACTAATAGATGTCGTTTCAAAAAAAATTGAGAAACATAACGGGCTTTTATTGTGATTGGCTGGCTGATTTTTGCAAATCATTTCGTGACATTTGCCAAATATGGTTGGTTAATCGATAATCAAAATCGGGTAAGATTTTTTATCGTTATATGAAGCTAAATTGTAACAAAGTATTTTATATAAGACTAAATTGACCTTAATAAGACATTACTACAACATCTCACAATTAAGAATTTAAGCTCAGCACAATCCAAGAGCTTATTAAATGCATACACGAATTAAAAAATAAATAGAAATAATAAAATAAAAGATACAGAAGTACAAAAAAAAAAAAATCAAAAACATATAAATCAATATTAATCGAAATACTAGTTTTATTGACATCAAACTTTATTGCTTCATGTCGCTAAACTTGCTACAAAATTATTTTACTACTTCGTGTTGCTAGGCTTATTATTAAATTATTTCGCTAAACTATTTTACTAGTGGTACCTGTCTTGAGCTTATAAATAAAACATAATAAAAAATAAATTAGCGAAAATAAGTCTTTCAGAAACAAATTACCAACTTAATAGATTTGTATAATATATTATATTTATGACTTATTGACTAAATTCATATAACTTCGAGTTACTTCGCGGATTACCGAATTACTTTGACAGTTTATAAAGTAAGACGTGAAGTTTCTAATTTTGTTTATCTTACCCTCTCGGAATTAGTATTCGTGGCTCGGAATTAATCTTGTTCAATAATACAGTAGTATAGAATTATATAGGTTAGTGAATTTATTTTCATTCGAGCATAATTTGATCTGAATTTTACGTACAACACATAGAATTGAATCAAATTTTATTTTCAAATTAAATAAACGCAAAATCATATATTTTGCACATATTTAAACCACTAATTTGGTCTGTTAATAATATGGACAACACTTTGTAATAGATTTCATGTCACTACGCTTGGATCCTTCATACAATCCTAGCGATCATACTGCATTCCTGGTTTAAGCACGACTACGTTGCGCAGCTACTCTAATAAACTAACTGAAGGCCAACATTAAATTTTGATTGCAAGAAAAGATTCAGAAATACTAATGACCTACAGAACATTAAGAATATGGGTACGTTACCAAAGTTGGAATACTATAAATAATTAAATCGGTCTTAAGCTGATCTTAAGACCATAGTCTTGGGACAAATCTTGAGACTATATTCTTTGGATCATTTTGAGATTATGGCTTGAGTTAAATCAGAGTGAAATAAACTAATTAACCTTGAACGGTCCCATGATGGATCATGGTCTATTGGTCTAAATTAGACTGGATAACATCTCTATAATATTAACGGGAATAATTGGTCAAAAATCTTATTATAATTTTCACTAATTGAAATTTAAAAAAAAATCGGCATATTTATGTGGCCAATTGTAGTTCAAAAAAAAAAAAATTTACTACGTATTAAATAGAATTGGATTGTTTATTACTTTTCGAAATTCCTTTATTGAATCTGAAACTACTATGATCAGTAAAAATCTATAAACTAGCACTTGAAACACGAAAGGAAACACAACAGTATTCGTAGACGTATAACAAGATCTGTAAATATTATCTAAAACATTTGTTTTCTCTTCATGACACAAACGCTAATTACGAATAATGGTTTGAATCTCATTGGTCGGATGGGTCACGTTATGATGGTTAGGGCTGCAGCCAATGAGGTGAAGGGATCGATGTTGTAGAATACAAATACAAAATTTGAAAATAAAGAACTAAAATATAGGATTTATAAAAGGACAAAGCCGAAATGAAAAAAAAAACCATTTACAGAAAAGACTCTTAATACGGCATTAAAAAGACCCAAAGTATATCGTATAATCTAAGAACAACAATACCAATACATCTTAAAACGCTAAAATGAAACAATAAAATTACCGTATATAACAAATATTTATATTTATGAAATCACCGAAGAAATTAAGAACGTGTAACCATAAATCTATCGACTATGTAGATATCTGCCTTAACTGAAAGTTAATGTCTATTGTCGTTTTATGTATGTTGTACATCGGATTCCGAAAGACCGATTAGAAGGTAACATTTTCACAAAATATGATATAATTGGTAGATTTTGAATATCATGCAAATTTGCATTGCAGTAATGTTTCGAATTTCAGTCCATATTAGCCATTAAGAACACTATTGTGGAACTGCTGATTGAATACAATTTGCGAGGTACATGATTATTGAAAGCCATGTCAGTGAATATTGTTAACAATCAGGCATCTATTTACGCAAATAGATACACAGACGAAAGTGTAACGCTTTAACTCAGCGTACAAGCCTCGGATTCTATAATTCTCCAAAATTCTTTTCAAACTTTTTTTTTCCTCCTTTGTTCCAGACTTTCGTTTTTTTTCTTTGTTCTAGACATTTGATGCATCATTTAATCAAATAATTGCTGCAACTATTTCTAAGAAGCTAAAGAATTGTTAATGGAAATGGAACTACTTTATTATTAAATTTGTTATGCACACTTTAATCTAGCGCATCGTATAACCTGACTGGCGCATCTCAATTCAATTGTTTATTGATCTGCTCATGCTTAAAATTTGGCATAGATCCACATTTTGTATGTCAAAAATGTAACAATGTTTACATGTGGAGAAAATATTACTTAAAATAACCAAGTAGTAATTTACTCAAATTTCTGAAAAAGTTCTTTTTACATTCTGAAAAGGTAATTTGCTGCATCCCTTGTTTTCATTGACAAGCTCGAGTCACATGACACAACATACGTTTTTGTTAAATTTCCTTTTTTGCTTTCTACACAACAAATTGTTTTATTCTACGCAGAGCTATGTGACTGTTTAACATTTAAATATTTGCAAAAAAAAAAATTCTCTAACCCAATTTTAATCTAAACTGGCTCTTCCCCGTTAAGAGCTTTATTAAAGCGTGTAAATTATTTACCTTCTTTTCAAAATAAATCTACATTAAAAAAATGTCTTTACCAGACGGATGGGTACAACGGGTAAGTAGATTATTATAAAGTATTTATTCGATTTACAATTGTTGCTTAGTCTGATATTTTTCGTTTATAATTAATAGTTTGATCCAAATCAAAATCGGTATTATTGTAAGTTTATTTTCTCGACCTATGTCTTGGTTGATACGCATATATAATTTATAATAACATTATTATTATAGATATTGATCTTGTTAATAAGCAAACCACTTGGGTAAGTTATTCTCTTTTTTTAAAAAAAATTGTTGGGTTCAAAGAAATATATGTCAACTTATTATCTACAATAAATAGAATGATCCACGCCAACAAGGAAATGGTCAACTTCAACCAAAACAAGAAATAGTTAATGCTACTCCCGTCGATATTCAATACCAACAATCAGTAGCTACTCAAAAACAACAAATTGTTAATCCTATTCCCGTCCCTCAAAAGGATATCCTCATTGGTGAAGATCAAATTAAAAAACCAATTGTTAATGTTATTCCCGTTCCCCAAAAGGATATCGATCAATTTACCAAACAACAAATCATTAATACTGTTCCTGGTGTACAGTATGAAAAATCAAAAGATATTCAACAACCAATCTATAATGCTAATCCCATCGGTGTGCAGTACCAACAATCAAAAGGTATTCAGCAACAAGTTCCAGCTGGAAATGGTCAACTTCAACAACAACAACAACAAATTTTTAATGCTATTCCTGCTGATAGTCAGTATCAACCATCAATGAATATTCAACAACCACCACAACAACAAAATATCGTTAATGCTATTCCTGCTGATGGTCAGTATCAACAATCAAGAAGTATGTCCATGCCCATAGGTGGGCAATATCAACAACCACAATCACAACAACAGCAACAGCAACAAAATATCGGTAATTCTATGTCCATGCCCATGGTTGGACAATACCAACAACAGCAACCACAACAACAGCAACAGAATAACGTTAATTCTATATCCATGCCCATAGTTGAACAATATCAACAACAACAACCACAACAACAGCAACAGAATAACGTTAATTCTATGTCCATGCCCATAGTTGAACAATATCAACAACCACAACAACAGCAACAAAATAACGTTAATTCTATGTCCTTGCCCATAGTTGAACAATATCAACAACCACAACAACAGCAACAAAATAACGTTAATTCTATGTCCTTGCCCATAGTTGAACAATATCAACAACCACAACAACAGCAACAAAATAACGTTAATTCTATGTCCATGCCCATAGTTGGACAATATCAACAACAACAAAATACCGCTAATTCTCTGCCCACGCCTGGACAATATCAACAACAACAACAAAATTTTGGTAATGCTATGCCCATGGGTGGACAATATCAACAACAGCAACCAAATTTCGCCAATGCTATGCCAATGGGTGGACAATATCAACAATCAAAAGTTGTTCAACAACAGCAAGTTATTCACAAGCAAATTATTTATGCTGGAAATAATCAATCTCAACAACCACAAATCCCTAATGGTGGTCAATATCAACAAACAATTCAGAGTCAAGAAAAGACCGTAATAACTAGTGTTAACCCCTCAGCTTATCCACCACCTTATAATAATAGCATTCAGTCACCACAACAACAATATAATCAAATGGGTAATGGTGGTCAAATGACTGGAAATTTTATTAATGGGAACCAAGGCATGATGATGTCTCAACCTAATCAAATGGGTTATCCTAATCAACCAGAAAAAGTAAATTTGGGTCATACGAATGCTATAAACGTTCATTTCGTGGAAAAAATCCCTATAGTGGATAAAATTACAAAAAAATCTCAAAAAGGTATTAACTCAGTTATGTCTCTTCTTAGCAAAGGTAGTAAAATGAAGCTTGGACCTACGAACACTGGTAATGGAAACAATGTTATGCCAATGGGAATGGGAAACCGTGGTATGGGTATGGGAAATAATAATATGGGTATGGGAAATAATACCATGGACATGGGAAACAATACCATGGGTATGGGAAACAATGCCACATGGATGGGAAATAACGGTATGGGTATGGGAAATAACGGCACGGTAATGGGAAATAATGGCATGGGTATGGGAAATACCGGTATGGGTATGGGAAATACCAGTATGGGTATGGGAAATACCAGTATGGGTATGGGAAATAACGGCACAGTAATGGGAAATAATGGCATGGGTATGGGAAATAACGGTATGGGTATGGGAAATAACTGTATGGGAATGGCAAATAATGGTATGGGAATGGCAAATAATGGTATGGGAATGGGAAACAACAATATGGGGATGGGAAACAACAATATGGGGATGGGAAATAACGGCATGGCAATTGGAAACAACAATATGGGAATGGGAAATAACGGTATGGGACTGGGAATGGGAAACAATACTATGGGAATGGGAAATAACGGTATTGGAATGGGAAACAATAACATGGGCATAGGAAACAACAATATGGGAATGGGAAACAATAATATGGGAATGGAAAACAATAGTATAGGGATGGAAAATAATAACATTAAGAGGAGAAACAATGGCATTGAAGCAGTATCCCATTTGATTGGAGCGGAAAGCAATGGTACTGGTAAAGCTATTTCAAATGAAAGTGGAAATTTGAGTTCTTCCCTGAATTCTAAATTACATCATGAGAATTCTCAGCAAAGTCATCAAGGAAATTCTTACCAAAATCATAATAAAGATTCTCATGAAAGTTCTCATTATAATCAGGACCAAGTTAATGTAAATTCACATGATCAGATAAACTCTCAAAATGATCATTATCAAGGTAATTACTGTGCCAACCAAAATCAAGACAGTTATCAACACAATCAAGATGGCAGCTATCAAGGCGGTGATTATCAACACGACCAAAATGGTGGCTATCAGAACGGTAATCATCAAGGAGATTTTCCAAATAACTATCAACAAGACGGAGGTTATCAGAATGGATATGATCATCATGTACGTATTTTTTTATAATGCCTTTACATCTTTGGTTTTTTTCTAATCTAATATCTTGCATTTATAGAACCCCAATGATTCGAGTGGTGCGTATAATATGAGCTCTTTAAACCACGCTTTGGATAGTTGTGGTTTTGATAATCATGGTGGTGGAGACTTTGGTGGTGGAGATTTGGGTGGTGATTGCTAGTAAAATTACATTATGACGAACATTTATTTGAGTATATAATATGTGAAGGTTTATTATTACTATAAATAATAAAATTACAATTATTCTGATTTTATGTATGTATCAAAAGATTTAATTTACAAGCTTAATCCTGTATTTTAATCACATTCTGCACTTTCGATTATGTATATATATAACGTTAAATTAAATATTGAATTGAGATATTGGTTTTATAACAAAAATATATATACAGTATATTATTGCTGCTTATATATCTCTATTGTTATAGTGATCCTAGCCGGCAGTTAAACCGTACATGTATTTATTTGGCGACCTATATGGATTTACTTATTTTTGAGGATGTATAAAGCAAACTCATAAATCAATATTTTATTGTTTTTAAGGTAGGACTGAGGTTGTTAATAGGTTGTTTTGGTTTGAAATTAGTTTCAATCAAAACTAGCTTGAAGGACTAGATTCAGGAGCGTAGCGAAGAACTCTATATTATTCTGTAAAAGGTTTGTTTGTTCTGCCACATCACGTGAAAATCGTACAATCAAATAATAACACATATATATAGTATAGTAAACTGTGTAATATATTGTATCGCGCAGTACATCATTTAACAGATTTTAATAAATATTTATTTATACATTTATATTTAAATTAATAAATCTTGAATAAATACTGTATACTTGATGGGTGGATGATGGCCTTTATTTTACTATTTCTGTTAATATCAAATTTATTATTAATTATTATATCAAAATTGATGATCAAAAATAACAATTAAAAAAAGAATCATCAGGAGCTTTTCACTCGCTTGGTACTTAATGTCTTTAATTATCATTCATTAGATTTAAATCATAGCATCATATGTAAGTAGATCTTATATCAATATGAATATCTAAGTGAACTACTAGGACCGATTATTTTTATATAGTGAAGATAGACGTTATCTCAAAGTTAGAAATAGTTTTTACAATTTTATTATTATTATTATTATTATTAAAACGTTACATCCCAAAAAGTAAATTAAAAAATTAAAACATATAAATAAGTTACCCAAGTGATTGATTTAGTTCTTTATACTATAGAAAGAATTTTGCAAATTCTAAGAAGTTGGATTAATAATTCATTAATAAAATTTGATTTTTAAATAAACATTTGAACAATGTTTAAGGTACTTAGCTTTGGCATTCTTAATAGCATAAAAATAATGACAATATTTTTTTTTATAATGTTAAATTATAACTTATATTTTTTTAGATTTTGCATTACTATTACATATAGTTATATTATATTTGTGTTATTAAATTATTAATTTTCTAGATATCCAACATGACATTACATCTACACTTTTTTATATATATTTTGTAGTCTTTACTATTTATTCTAATTATCATTACTAAACTACTAGTAAGGTTGTAGTTACTTTTTTATATCTTAATTTTCTATTATTTGCAGTAGTCTTTTTTTTTTCTTAAATTAGTTGATTTTTATAGTTTCTTACTCTTGTTATTATTAATTAGTATATACAGTTTTACATATCTTTCAAATACCTAATTGAGCATAACTAGATTTATTATAATCTGGATTATCAATTTGCAGTTTGTTTTTTTAGTTGTATTTCTATAGTTGAGTTAAACTGTAACTTGATCATATATGTTTTTTGCAGGTTTTATTATAGATGTACTGCTAACTATATACTGATATACTATCAGTTTAGTGTTGTAAAAAGGTCTAAAATCTTAACTTATTATATAGACATAATGTTTATTATTTAAGTTGTAATATATGATCATCTAAAATGTTATTTTTTTAGTACTTTTACTAGTATCTGCTTAAGATTTTCTAATTTTTATTAGACCAATTTGTTGTTACAGATTTTTTTTATATATATTATATTGCTTATTACTTTAGTTTTAGTTATATAATATTATCTTTCTAATTAAATATCCTTTAAGTTATTGAGATATGGTGATTTAGTGAAGTGAATAAGTTGTTAACTTTCTAAGTAGTAGGTTATAAGTTCAAAATTTACTAATAACAAAAATTTGAACAATCACCTATGTAATATATATAGTATTATAGTAATGACATTTTGTCAATCAGTTGGGATAAGATATCTGTAACTATAGTAATATTAGCATAACTAGCAGAATATAAGACATCTGTATAAATATGACATTATACAAAAAAATAAAAATTAATATCAAACAGTACAAACTCTAGATAAGTTCTTATAGCTGTATAAGTTTGTTAAAATTAAAAAACAAAAAGTCTATTTGGAAAGACCTAAATAAAGAAATAGCACAAATCTTTAATAACACTATTATAAAGACTAAACTTAGAAAACAGATATTAATATCAAAGTACCTAAATGAACAAGAACTTCTGAGTAGTAAGTACTGTCAACTAGGCTGTTAGAACAGACCAAAGAGAAAAAATATTAGACTAATCTAATATGCAATAAACTTTTTGTAATTTTATTAGATTACCTAAATTAAAAGTCAGAAGAACAGATAAGAATATACTAAAGTAATTTAGATATGTTGTAAAATAGATGCTAGAGTTTAAGTAAACTTTACAAAAGCATAGTACATTGGAAAATTTTATTACTAGATATATATCGATATATATCATTATATCAATATATATCATTAGAAAAATATCGATATATATCAATAAATGCATTATTCCTTGATAATTAACCAATATTGGTATATATCGATTATTAGATATTCATCGATTATGCATCAATATTGATAATCAACGAATTTATTTAATCACTATTCATCAATATATTCGTTATAACTTGATACATATCTTACATATTGTATAATATACACTTTAAATTAATAAACAATTATTTTAATACTTAAATATACACTTTAAATTA